CCTTAGTCCACTGAACTTCTCCATTTTCCTTTCGAATCCACTTTCAACTTTCCTTTCTTCTCCTATTCTTCATCCCAATGGGCAGCCAAAAGACAGCAACCAAAACCGGTGCACGAACTTGCATGGTTAATGGTTGTTCAAACTGAAACTGAACTGAACTGAACATAATAGGTGGTATGTGAATGATTGAACAAAATTGCCCTCTAAGCACGTGACCGGTTTCGTGGTTCTTGTCACTCGTCAGGCATGCGGATCGGGTAATCTTTTCTCAGTTCGTTCATATACTTGTACCTAGGAAGTGTATTTTCGTCACAATAACCTTGTTTGCAACACCGGGTGAGTCTTGGATAAACAACTCTTTCAGATCCAATCCACTGAAGAATCCATACTATGATTCGATGTTTTTTTAGGTGGGTTAAATGCTGCTAACTGCAACCAACGTGACATGAGCGTCTTTATAGAATATTCATTCGTATACTACTTATTATGCAATATTCTGTAAGGACGCTCACTTTACGTTGGTTGAGATTAGTAGCATTTAACCCACCCACATAATAAAACGGATATATACATTTATATATATAAATATATATATATCGGTCTTCCGGCGGTCGAACGCTTTAGCTGTGATTTCTCTAAGAAAATGCCCTTGTTTTGACCTCAATAGTCTGGCAGTATCCTAACCATAAGCAAATCCTGGACAACGATATTGTAATTCTAGATTCACACAAGTGTGAAGTGAGGTAATAATATTATTAATAATAATAATAATCACAAGGTAGATCACCATCATTTCCGTTACGAACTGTATGCTGAAACGGATAACACCATGAACACAATTTGTGTTTCTACACTTACTGCACGTTTATTGGACCAGTTCGAACGAGCCGGTTCTGATCCGTTCGAACGTTCCCGATCGGTTCGTTTAATTTGTTCCACCACATCCACCAAAAGCATGCGCAGTCGAGTAACGTGCGTTTGAAATTCGGTCCCGGCAGACCCACCGTGACCCTCACCTTTTGCGCCCCCAGGAACGATAGTAGCCGCACCATTTACACTAAGACTATGACCTGATTGGTTGCGGCCAGCTGAAGACTTGTGTGTATGTTGTTGATTGGTCTTCAGCCGAGCCATAGACACAGCCAATCGGAACACAAACGGCCATGGTTCATGCTCGGCAAACCAACGGTGTGTGTCTCCGGATGCGTACAGTTGATAAATTTCTTTGTGCACGCATCGAATCAGGACGTGCATAAGTCGTAGCTCATCCGCCGTGGTCGACGCGTATCGGAACAAACCGAACACTAGACGTTCAATGGACAAGCCGTACATATTGGGACGAAAATGACAGAATCCGGAAGTCTGCGGAATGACGGAAAATTTCCACAGCATGGCATTCGGTATAGCACAGACCAAATTGGCCACATATTCCGGTTGTGTATAGCACAAATAACACACTTGACCATAAAGACGAATCAATGGACTGGGTACAGTGGATAGATCGCTGGCATTATGACATCCGGTGGTTTGAAACTCGAGTTCCCCGTTGAATTCCGGTACGGGTTGTTGACTGGAAGGATCACTTCGTGTGGACACAGTTCGACCGTTTAGTCGTATTTGAATGAGCAGTTTGATCAATTTATCTGAACTGGTTAACTCTTTTTGCACTTCGTCTAAACGATTGATGATCGTCAAAATCTTTTTGCCCAACGAAAACCCTTCCAATTCTTGCCGATAAGCTGCTTTGGCGGCACAGCCGTCCAAACAATGAACGTATTGAGCGACACAATCTACTGCCCAAATGTCGGACTGACAAGTCCCGGGCGGAGTGAAATTGTGAGTACTAGGAGATCGAACGATCAGTCGAACCGGAGTTTTCTTCCGCGTTTCCGTTAGGTCATTGGAACTCTTGATTTCCCGTTCTGGTTCAGATGACGATGACCATAATAATGTCCGGAAAATTGGAGCAGTTTTTCTCACTAATGGTGTTCTTTTCGGAACGCGCATGATCTCGATAGGTGCGTAGTTCTGGGCTGTATCCGTCGTGTATCGGGCCAGAGAATAGAGTCGTCGAAGAAACAGACGTGCACGTGTTCCACGCCACAGAGATTGTAAGCGAATCAAATCAAAAATTCGTTTTCTTTGATCCAATCGTAACTGCGCTAACCTCTGCTGGACCGATCGACGACGCCAGTGCTTTTGCAAACAGACAACAGCTTTTTGCACAGTTGGACTGTCGTAGAATTCCAAACGGTTTCGAAATTGTTTACGGGCACAATAGCCTCGCCAGTAGGATTGAATGCGAACAATACAACGAACCAAGCATGCCAGCTGTTGTTGATGATGATGTTTTCGCACCATGTACTGTTCCGGTGGTAGATGAGCTTCAACCAGAGTGGCCGTAGCCTGACATAGCTCAGACCAGTTAAGCACTGGAAGCACAGGGACAGGATCCATTTGAATTGAGTTCTGAAGTTCCATCAGTTTATTGACACGGGACACGACTAGCAAACAATCTTCCCGATTCAGCACAGCCGGATCCAGACACGGGACATCACGAATTCCGGTCGGCCATCGGAGCTGTGAGAGATTATCCGTCCACACACACGTTTGTGCTGGACAGACGCTTGTGTGAATTGGCCAGCGAATTATGTCCCTCGTGTAAATATTATAAAAATAAGGAACTCTAAAACGAGTCAAAATTTGATCTTCGATTGTGCCACTGGCCTGGGCTTCATGGGAACTGACCGCGGGAATATGAGTCCACAACCAGCCACAATCCAAAACGAAGGAACAAAGTGTTTCCAAATAGGCAGCGGTCAAAGAGAGGCGAGGTTGTTCCGTGGATTGTGTACTGGTCCGATTTCCTGAACATTGGAAACGGGCTATCCGATTTGCTCGCAACTGAATCGGGAGATAAACACACACACACACACAGAGAAAGTAATATAAAATAAAAATTTTAATGTCTCGTACTTTCTTTTTTAATTTATTTAATATCCAAATGTACAGTCAACTTTCAGGTAGGGGACCATATAAAGGCTGCTTGGGGAAATACAGAAATGGGGAAGATGGGCAGTGGTAGAGCGGTTCGAACCCGGGACTTCCGGGTCACAATTTGCCTTCTCACTGAGTGATTTTGCTGATAAATTTCCGATAATATTTGTCCCTAGTGCTTTCAACGGATGCTTTGAAGTTACTAATTTTTCTTTCAATAACGATCCTCCATACTTCACTTTCTTAAGTCATCCTTAGTTCATTCAAATCAACCATGCACTGTTATCATAGTGCTTACAACGACAGACTTTATATATATACATTTCACATACATCTTAATACAGACTGTGCTAAACGAATAATGACACAATAAGCTTTATGATTTGCATGTGCGCGGAATACTGCCAGGTTGCTCAGGCCAAGGCAGGTAATTTTTCTTAAGTAATTCATCACCGGAGCCTTCGGCTAGCCAAAGCCTGACCCGCAAGGCAGCGGGGCGGTGTGTGAAACCCGCAATCCATTGTGAACGACTAAATGTGATTACTTTCGTTACTCTCAAGCCCAGAAAAGTGAATAAAATCTGAAGAAAACTAGAACCTTTTGTGAAAGAAACTCGTGCAATTGATGTAAATGGACTGTGATCCAAACCGTTCCGTAGGATAATGGATATGTAGCATTTGATTAGTTGAAACAAGAATGAAACCCTACTGTTGTGGCCTACAGTCGAGTGAAACGTCTACCGCACATCACTAGATTGCCCGTTGTGACCCACCACAACAAGCAGATACTCACCTCATGCGGACTCTGTTACAAGGTCGATCCACCTCAGCGAATCAGAGATCAGTATTAATCTGTTCGCACCGATTGGTTCGTTGCCTGCCCAACGTGATGACTTACTCCTTGTGGTAACGGTTGCGCCAGTTTTGTGCCTGCCTGCCTGTCTGCTTGCGTGTTGACGCACTGATTGCTCACCGGCTTACGGACCGGCTACATACTGGAAATAGAATAACTACTTGTTGACTTATATGGGATACAACACCTTCTACATTGCATTTCAAGTGTATGGTTGACCGCATTATTGGTATGCGTGTGTGCCAAGGTGACTTCGAAAGAATGACCCGTCGAAATCAACAAAAGCTTTTGCTACGTCGCTACAAACAAGAAACACTGAAGTGGAACAGAATTTCAGTTTTGTATTGTATTGGGCGTACCTATTAAAAGCACTGCAGCTTACATTTTAGTCAAACAAATCCATGCATGTCAACCGTCACAGAGAACATAATCAAAGGGAAAATATACATATTCAGCCCATTGGTGTATCTATGTTTGGAGGATAGAACACCTAATTTTGCTATTCATTAACTTGCTTCTGTCAAGAAAGCTATCCACCATGGCAACATGATTTGGTATCTGCGCGAGAACATCGATGAACATCGCCTTCGGTTGCCGAGAAATGGAGCAATTAAGTCAGTCACAACTGCGATCATTTTGCAACCTGTCGATACTTTATATTTAATAAGTAGTATATGAATGATAACGAAATTTTCGTGGAAGCCTACGACTGGTTTCACGGTTCTTGGTGCATCTAACCAACCTACAAAACATCGGTTCATAGTACTGTCTTACACATCCAAGAACGAAAATTATGACGCCCTAATAGTTCGAGTTCACTAGATAAATTGTGGATGCTTTCGATTGAGCTTGTCCATTTGATGTCTTATATACATATACTCAATCATCAATCGAAATTTCGCCCAAAGAGTGCTAATTGAAAAAAACCTTTGCAGTAAATGTCTCTCATTCACTCACATTTGTGCTGTAATGCAGGCGGTGGAGAAGTTAGTTTGATTTCAAAATGATGTTTATCATGCATAGTGCAAAACAAGTATGAGCTGAAAAGCTAGGAAGCACTATTGGGCCTATAAATTGACTAGGTTGGGTTTTGTCCGTTAAGAAAACAGGATAAAGGTAGACTGTCGGTGTTTGAACACAACTGTCTACACAGCATTGCACGAATGTGGTAGGTCAGCCGGACGAGCAATGCTGAGGTTAGGCGCAGAGTTTTAGGTAAATGCGGTCGCTCGCAGGAGTAAGTGGTCAAAAGTGGTCAACATAAACGCCCCGAAAATGCAAAGCGGGACAGCAACAACACTAGCTTCTGTTTCATTTTGCACAGAGATTAACCGTGAACTGGCTTGAGTAAGTTCTGGTTGGTGGCTTTTCTGATCATCGGTTAAAAAAGAAGATGCATAGAAAAGAATTCAGATGCAACTAAAACAGATCCGATGGGAAGGTACACAGTGGTCACCGTTCAAGACATTCAACTGCATCACTCCGTACAAATCACACCTACACTCACATCCTGCTGTTTGTGACAGTGCTCACCAACTTGAATGAGCATCGAAGAGTATTGGGCACCTTGGACTTTTTGACCTCGTCCAATAGGGGTATGATCCGATGAACTGAACATCAGCTCCCAATGGACTGCGGTTTCCACAGACCGCCCCGCGCTGCCTTGCGGGTTAGGTTTTGACTAGCCGAAGGCTCCGTTTGTGAATTACTCATAAAACGCACCTGCCTTGGCTTGAACAACCTGGCAGTTTCACTCCCACAAACAAATGAAAGAAAGGATTCAGAAGACAGTTTAGAATGTGCGGGTCAAATTTCGCTTTGACACTCCAAATCAGTCCGTTTCATTTCATGATAAACCTTTCTAGTCAAATAACGTTTCTTTAGATTCTGAGCAACTCGATACGACTGATGAACGGGATACCGAGTGCGAAACCGCGACTGGATTACAGAAACCCTGTGGTGACGAGTATGATACATGAGACTGACCTGGATACAATTATTGTACACTTTAAATGCATTAAATACTATACGCAGAGCATACAATTCGAATAAATTACATGTGCTATTCCATTCTATTTTGGGAGATCGGTATTGCGCGAATTCCGGAACTGCATTTCGAATTCTATTCACAATACTACACGATGTTCCCAAACAGGAAGAAGTCTAATATGACTTGTTTGACCGAGGCCCCTGGTCAGGGATTTCACACCGTCCTGTCCGGTCTGAGGTCGATCACCAGTAGTATCGATCTACGACCGGTGACAAACAACCTTAAAATCTTGTGTTCATTTTACGTGCAAAAAAATCGATCACAGAGAATATTGTAACTGATTATTGGCAGACTTCTAAGCAAAAGGATTATACATAATGCGATGGAAATGTTTGCCATGACCGACAAAGAGCACTGCACAGCCGTTTTGTCCTGTTTGGTGTTCGTCAGCAGTGCGCGTACTTTTTGTGTCCCTGTAAGGACTCGAACCGCGAGCGTTCGTAGTGGGAATTCAAACCCTTACCCCTGAGCTACACGGCCGACGGTTATCATCTTGTACTCTCTACTCTAAGAATATACATAAAGTTTCACCAAACTACCAAACTGAAACTATTGTACCTAGTGGTAAAGGACGCTTCCAATTTAGCTCGGTACGCAACTGAAAAACAGGCTAACAGTATTTCAATCTTTGTATTACTGTCCGTAGAGATCTTACTTCGTGGGCTCAAACATATATGCTACGCAATCAGTCGGATAGGTTTCTTCAGGATTGGGGGGATGCGTTCTGTGCTGATCGAGTAACGCTTGAACAAGTTGGGATAACGGATCACAAATAACATGACTTAAATGTGCCTCCAAAAGCCTCACTATGGTCGGGAGTGGGTGTATAGGGTTGCAGCTGGTCACCCTTCCCTGGCACCTCGCGAAATGCTCTAATACGACCAAGTGCCTCAAATAGCCTCTGCTGAGGAAGTCCTACTCACTGTCTTCTCGTGGCGGGGGTGTTTTCCCACCAAAAAGAGAGGACGAAAAGCCGACATCCGGGGCTATAACCGGGTTGGTGGACCACTGGTAGTTCACCAATGGGGGTCGACCAAAAACCTTGATTCCAAACCAACCAAGAAGAGGCGTACGAACCACAATCACACCTTTTCGGTTGTGGTAGTGGTCACCAGCTCAGTTGGGCATTGAGATGTCCGTTTGACCCCGTCGAAAAAGCGTAAGATCCGATGAACTGGACACCGGCTCCCAAATGGATTGTGGTTTTTGCACACTGCCCCGCTGCCTTGCGGGTCAGGCTTTCTATAGCCGAACGCTCCGGTTGTAAAGATTCCCCAAGACAATTCACGTGCCTTGACCTGGCCAACCTGACAATATTAAGCCCAGAAACCAATCGTGGAACGTTTTTCTTTTTTATAAAAATTTTTGTCTGTCCTCAGACAAGTGTGAAATACAATACAATAATAATGACTTCAATTTAGTTTGAATTCTAAACAAGAAAAACTGTTTCGGTCGTTTATTAAGTCCGTCAATCAAATATGGAAACCCGTGAACTATCACAAAACAGCCCAATTCACAGTACCTGAATCAGAGCGGATTCATACGCCTCGTTGTAAGCTGGATTGGCATGACCATTCATCCATTGTATATTGGTGGAACCAAGATCTGTATAAATCAGTGAATTTCGAAGACATCGAGAAATTTCCACCGGATTTTTCAGCTCAACTGCCTGATTCAGTTCGGTTAATAAAAGGCCAAGTTCACGCATCCTATTCTCCAAACGCCTGGTTCGATCGACTGCCTCACAAACATGGTCTATGGACAACGAATTGGGTTTGGAAACACCGAAAGTCTGTTGTGAACAGACTACTTGATTCTGACAGTGATGCAAGTAAAACTGTATGAATGAGTGATACAGATCTGCCGCAGCCGGTGTCAGCGAACAGTCCGCTAGCAGACCGGAACGTTGCATTGCACGTAAACTTTCAAACGTGAGGAGAGGTATATTATGCGTCAAGCTGGATAACAATCGATCCATGCATCGATCAACCGAAGATTTTTCCGGTGTGTCACACAACGGACTACAGGATCCACAACTGCTCGTTCCTCGGATCCGGCCAGTCTCGTGACTGGACAATCTGGCATTTCTATACTGACTAATCACGGCCTGAATTTCCGCGTGTGTCAGAATTGGCAGTCGTCCTGAGATGGATTTCTGATCCCGTACTCGACAGAGTCGCTGAAAATAGAATCGAGCCCATTTGTCTTGTTCCCGAATGTCTGATTCCATATGCACATCATCCCAATAAGCGTCTGACGCGATGAGAGCAAAATAGACGGCTTGCGGATCGTGTCGATCAATAGCTTCATTCAGTCGAACCACACAAGATAGCACATCAGACGCTGCGATCAATTCTTCCTGTGTCAAATCTGAACCTTTATCAGTTTTCGCAGCAACCAATTCCACATGATACAGACCGGCAATTAAACCAAGCGATCCTTGTATTCGATGCACGTGTAATGCTTTCAAAGTATGTTCGCGTAAAAACGGCCGTAACACGGTCAGTGTGTTATTTGGATCGTTTTGGCTCAAGGCATCGTTGACGGCACGCACGGATCTAGAAAGAAAATCTGTTTCATTCTGTATTTGCTTCTGTTCCGGTGGATCTTTGTGGTTGTGTTGGAGTTGTTGTTGTTGTTGCTGCTGCTGTTGTTTCGGTATTTGTTTTACTATCCCAACAAATGGAAGGATAAATTGGAGAAAAAATTGCTCGGTATTTTGTTCCCCCGAATGCGGGGCAACACAAGTGCGCAACTGTTCAAGATGAATTAGATTTTGCTGAAAAATACGCAAACATTCGTTTCCGTCAGGCAGTTGCTGGTGCTCGCTTATTGCCAATGGGATATACTGATCAAGCAAGCCTCGTAGTGCGCTGGTGTCATTGTTGCGCACAGATTCGATCAACCGATTCAATTCATCGAATATTGCTCGCGCAGTACTGCTTTGCATTTCACATGCATTCTGATGCGATTCTAGTCTGACCCCGAGTGGACCAGTCAGTCGTGAGTGAATTCNAACAGTCGGTGGGTGGCTGACTCGTGTCACGCGAGCCAGTGCGCGCGCACACAATTGATCACGTGAATCGAATCGATCGCACGATCATGTCCCGGGGGAAAATGACATGAGGTGAATACTGTAAGACTAAACAATGAACTTGGAGCAGATGTTTCACTTACAACATAACAAACACGAAGTCACTGAAATATGTGGACGATATTGCCATTCACATTCACAAATCCGATTGAACAGAACAACGTGCATTATTGGTTCCATTTGATATTACCTTGGTGAATAACCCATGGAATTTCTTTTGTTCTGTGTGCAATCTTGTTTTTGCATTGCGTTCATTATTTCACCGAGTATAAGGCAAAGCACACGCGCGGATACAGTGATGTAGGCAGCAACACGTTTTACAAACCAATGTGTGTGTTGAGTCCTCTCAAGTGTGTGTGACGGAAAAAAACATGTTTCCATATTTTTAACTTTTATTTCTAAACTCATTCCGTGTTATTCAAGGAGCTTGGAGCTACGGACCGTATGTGGAGGTGGGCTGATTTTATCGGCTTGTTTATCTGTGTGTGGGAGTGAGAGATAGTGTGGTAATTGTAGAATGAGTAGTACTCACTGAACGCGAAACACGAATCACGGGTTAGGAATCACGGAGAAGACGTAAGCACTGGACCACACTACTGCTTGCACGCAATATCGCACGTAACTGAGACGCGAGGAAAAAGGCCACAGGAGTAGTAGTTCGCTTACTGAAAGAAATTAGGGGGAATAAATAATGTACAAAACAAGCTCATTGGTCATTCAGACCTCTGCCAATTGCCTTCTAATATTTCTGTCGTTGTCGTTGTCTGGACGGCACTGTTTCTGATTAGCTGGTACAATCGACCTATGTGATGTAGTCCAGAAACTGTGACACGTACGCGCTTTGCTGACGTCACCTGTGAATCCTGATTGATCACTGTAACGTGTCGCTCCAGAGTATGCGTCGTCTCGCAGGCTAGGATCACCGCAGATAGGCTGACAGATGCTTGATGTTTTCACCGTCAACTGACCACATTTCCCTTTTGATGAGCTGAAAATAGATGCCACATGCCAAATAGACAGAATAAGTTTGGAATCAAGTTAAGGGCGTATGACAGCTGTTCACCGAGTAGAGAGATGATTGTTTACTGAGGCTATGGTACTGGATGGTGTTTGTAACCACAAGTGCAATAGCACTACTAACATCGTTAAAAAATAAATGTCTTTTTACTTCATTTTTATTCATTGAATATACAAAGGTACAGGTTCGAACCCGGGAATTCCGAACTACCATTTTGATGACCTTAACCGCTTAATCTGCCCATTATTATATAGCTGGTTTGTTAAACCGGTCAAATATTAAACAGTATCAACGAAACTGAGCATATTAATGTTATGATTCGTACTCGGATTAGTAACTCCAACACGTATCCGATTTCCGCGCAGTAACAATCTTTAGATCATCCCCGATACACCAGATCATATCGGAATATAACACTTAAGAACAAAATCGTGTTGCACTAGGCTTTAAGCGGAAGTTTACAAGGATATTATGATCAGTAAAACAAAAGAGTTTATAGTCTATTTATAATCACCACATCCACCGCAGCCTGGATAACCCCCCAGTTTTCTGTAATCACAGCGGTCTTTGTTGCGTAATCGTTCGGATCGTCCGGGTACTTCGGGAATATATCTTCAACACTTATACTGGAATGCAATTCATTTGAAATAGACTCAGAAATAACGGGATTAGTACATTCAGAATTAGCGTCAGTACTGGGCGAATCACAAATTATTAGATCTACATGTTTACAATGTACAGTGCCATCGTTTAAATCCAATATCGGACTTGTTCTTTGTCCCAATTGGTATTGTAAAATACCTATGAATGGTCGCAAATTGTTTCGAAGATCATCCACAGCCTCCACAGATTGCAAGTTTGAAACATTCGTCCGAAGTGTTCGGCTCTTAAGCAACTTTTCGGCACTATGCTACGCAGTTGAATGTAATGCGTGACGATATTTCATCAGAAAGTTATCGACATCTCCCTCTAGTTCATGGAATCTAATGCGATTCACAGAAGCAATGGCACTCTTCACTGTGTGCACATATTTTTGGCTGGATTGTGGATGTCAAGGGGAAGTAAGAACATGCCGACAACTCACGAAGTTAAGCAAATCGGTAACTTTCTTCACGCAGTGAAATGATTTCTATTGTCAGTCCCGACAGCGTGAGGGATACCTTCTCTACTGAACGTTCTCCTGAGGGCTTTAGCGGTCAATTCTGCACTGGGTGATGTAGTGAAGTAGACCTCCGGTCAATGGGAATAGGAATCGATGATCATCAATGCGTAATACTTATTGAAGAATGGACCTCAGTAATCCACACGTATTTGTTGCTATGGCTCAGAAGATACTGGCCACTGAATCAATTTCAAAGGTTGATTATGAGCCTTATTTATCTAATCAGCACAAGATTTGGCAACACGATTCAGGTCCTGATTTAATTTGGGCCATAAAAATATAGCAGGGAATTCAGATTTTTAATGCCAAAATGACCGGAATGTAAGTCATTCGGAACAGTAGTACGTGATGTCGGAGGTAAAATAGTTTGATCACTGCAACACAATACACCATCGCGAGTAACGCCAGTTTCCTCACGACGCTTATAGCATTCCAGAACTGGACGCTTAATATCTGTATGCCAGCCGCGATGGACACAGGAGGTTAGAGCTTGATAATACTTCCTGGTCCTGCGAACTAGATCAGACCGGCCTAAAGGAAGCGATGGCGTGAGTAGGTAATCACTCCCAGAAGCCTCCTGTGGTGATTGCCCTTGAATCATAAACTCCTTTGTTTTATTGAACCCGATATCCTTGTATGTTCGGACTTTCCGCTTATTACAGTTCGATTCCATTTCTGAGTCATTTCGAGTCCTAGCTCTGGGTTGGATTATTACTGCGCGGATTTCGATACATATACGAATTACTAGTCCAAGTGCTAACCACAACACCTCCTCGGAAATGGTATAGTTTGACAGATAGTCTGTATGTGGAATGCCCTCCGATGACGGATGTCGTAGGACTAGGCAGACAATACAACACCCCATCATTGTACCAGGGCTGCAGAGGACTTTACCAAGGAACATTGGGGGTTGTAGATGAACTGCAAGGCTTCATTATCACTCACACTAGATAAGGGAGTATCATAAAGATACTTGAGCATACGCGTGACAGCCTCAATAGACAGCTAGAGCCTCTTGTGGAGTTTGTGAATACCCACGTTTGGCTGCTGTGAGCCCGCGTGAGATACACAGCACCGGAAGATCGTTCTACTTCAACACAGCTCCAATTCTAACGGGCGATGCATCCGTGATGACGGTAGAAGGTAATCGTGAGGAAGAAGCACGTAACAGGGCACTGGTAGACAAAAAGGAAAGCAACTTCCTCAAAGCACGTTGACGGACCGAATTTCACTCAAATGTTTCCTGTGATTGCAAGTCAAAAATGGGGCAGATTGAGTTGAAAAAAATGGGAATAAATTGGGAATAGAATTGTAAAGAACCAATTGAAGAACGAAATCCATCGAATGATCCGGGAGATGAAGCACGGGATAGTGAAGAAAATCGATCAGGGTTAGGGAGGAATCCAGATTCATCAATCAATTAACTTAAACAAGAATGTTTAGTCAGCGCAAATATAAATTTATCAGGGTTAGTAACAAAGTTATGAAAAGGAAATCTTCCAAGCGAACACACAAGAAAAACGTTCAGCGTATAAATGGCTGCTAGGAGCCTAAACAAAAATGCAATCCTGGTAGGCAATTGCCATTTTTAAATTGGAAAGGATGGAATTAATAACAGTAGGATGAAAAACTGGATGGAACACACGGAGTTCAAACGGTACAAAATTGTAGCCAAATGGATCAACGGATGTGTTAATAATAATAATTTCACTCGACTTTTCAGCGAGGGGAATTTGAAGAAACGCATTTTATGAGTCCAGAATATATGAATTTGTTGTGGTTCGTACTCGGACTATTATTTCGTATACGTATCGGATTCCGCGCACTAGTGGTCCGACCCAGAACTAGGACTCGAAACGAAATCAGAAGTCAACTCAGAGGCGGAATGGAATTGTAATAGCCGGAAATTAGAAATATACAAGGATGTCGTGTTCAATAAAACAAAATCGTTCATTGTTCATGAGCAATCACCACATCCGCCGCAGCTTGAATAAAGCTCCGGTCTTCTGTAATCACGGCGGGATTTGTTGAGTAATCGTTCAGATCTTCTGGGTTCTTCTGTACTGTTTTCGACATTTGTATTGGGATGTAATTCCTCTGGAAAAGACTCAGAAATAAAAGGATTGATAGGTTCACAACTAGTATCAGGATTGGGCAAATTACAAATTACTTGGTCTACATGTCTG